TTCCTAATATCCAACCTAAACCTCCCCCACTGCAACTTGAGACCATTACTCCTTGTTCTGTCATCTGCTACCACTGAGAACAGTCTAGATCCATCCTCTTTGGAACCCCCTTTCAGGTAGTTGAAAGCAGCTATCAAATCCCCCCTCATTCTTCTCTTCTGCAGACTAAATAATCCCAGTTCCCTCAGCCTCTCCTCATAAGTCATGTGCTCCAGCCCCCTAATCATTTTTGTTGCCGTCCGCTGGATTATTTCCAATTTTTCCACATCCTTCTTGTAGTGTGGGGCCCAAAACTGGACACAGTACTCCAGATGAGGCCTCACCAATGTCGAATAGAGGGGAATGATCACGTCCCTCGATCTGCTGGCAATGCCCCTATTTATACAGCCCAAAATGCCATTAGCCTTCTTGGCAACAAGAGCACACTGTCGACTCATATCCAGCTTCTCGTCCACTGTAACCCCTAGGTCCTTTTCTGCAGAACTGCTGCCTAGCCATTCGGTCCCTAATCTGTAGCAGTGCATGGGATTCTTCCGTCCTAAGTGCAGGACTCTGCACTTGTCCTTGTTGAACCTCATCAGATTTCTTTTGGCCCAATCCTCCTATTTGTCTAGGTCCCTCTGTATCTGATCCCTACCCTCCAGCGTATCTACCACTCCTCCCAGTTTAGTGTCATCTGCAAACTTGCTGAGGGTGCAGTCCACGCCATCCTCCAGATCATTAATGAAGATAGTGAACAAAACCGGCTCCAGGACCGACCCTTGAGGCACTCCGCTTGAAACCGGCTGCCAACTACACATGGAGCCATTGATCACTACCCGTTGAGCCGGATGATCTAGCCAGCTTTCTATCCACACATTAACTAGTGAGACTTCCACAACCCCCTGGGAAGTACCATGGTCTCGTCTCCATTTTGTTGCTGTGGCACGGAGCGGGGAGGTGACTTAGCTGGGGTCACACGGCAGGTCAGTGGCAGAGGCAGGAATGGAACGTGAACAGCCTGACTCCGTACCCCTCTGCTCAGAGCTCCAGACATCACTCACCGTATAAAAGGGGAACTTACGGCCCAAAGCTCCTTGAGGAAGCTCTCTGCACCTGGCGGGGTCGGGACCCTAATGAACAAAGCAACAAGGGAAGAGGCCATCGATTCCAAGGCCAGAAAGGACCAGTGTGATCATCTAGTCTGACCTCCTGGGTAACACAGGCCAGCGACCTGCCCCCCGATAATCCCGAGAGCAGATCTGTTAGGAAAACATCCAGTCTTGATGGAGAATCCACCAGAACCCCTTGGGAAATTGTTCCAGTGGTTAATTACCCTCCCTGTTAAAAAATGACAGTTCTCTCAAATCTGAATGTGTCTAGCTTCAATGTCCAGCCATTGGATCTTGTTAGATCTTTGTCTGCTACACCGAAGAGCCCATGATTAAATATGTTTTCCCCACGTAGGTACTTACAGGCTGTGATCAAGTGACCCCTTAACCTTCTCTTTGTTAAACTAAATAGATTGAGTTCTTGAGTCTGTCACTATCAGGCAGGTTTCTAATCCTTTAATCAGTCTTGTGGCTCTTCTCTGGCCCCTCTCCAATTTATCAACATCCTGCTTGAATTGTGGGCACAGAACTGGACACCGGATTCCAGCAGCGGTCACACAGGCGGGAAAATCACCTCTCTGCTCCCGCTCAAGATCCCCTCTTTAAGCATCAGAGGAGCTCTTCTGGCCACGGCATCTCACTGGGAGCTCCTGTTCAGCTGATGATCCACCACAAGCCCCAAATCTTCTTCAGCGCCGCTGCTTCCCAGGGTAAAGTCCCCTGTCACGTAATGTGGCCTCCAGCCTGTGTTCCTCCATGTAGACATTTACATTCAGCCCTACTAAAATGCATATCGTTTGCGTGTGCTCAGTGCAGCAAGCGATCCCGATCGCTCTGTGGCAGTGACCTGTCCTCTTCATTATTTACCCCTCTCGCAATTTTTGTGTCATCTGCAAACTTTATCAGTGATGATTCTGTTTTCTTCCAGAGCACGGATAAAAATGTAAAATAGTGAAGGGCCAAGAACTGATTTTTGCAAGACCACACTAGAAATACACCTGCTCAAAGTGAAGATTCCCCATTACATTTTGAGACCTATCCGTTAGCCAGTTTTTAATCCATTTAATGTGTGTCATGTTCATTTTATATTGTTTTACTTTTTTAATCAAAATGTTGTGGGAGTACCAAGTCAAATGCTTTACAGAAGTCTATTACATCCATGCTATTACCTTTCTCAGCCAAACTTGTGAGTGCAAAGTAATGTACATTGGAAAACATAATCCCAACTATACATACAAAATGATGGGGTCTAAATGATCTGTTCCCACTCAAGAAAAAGCTGTTGGAGTCTGTCAGGGTTCCCTCCCCACTCTGAACTCTGGGGTACAGATGTGAGGACCCGCATGAAAGACCCCCTAAGCTTATTTTTAACCTAAGCTTATTTAACTAGCTTAGGTTAAAAACTTCTCCAAGGCACAAATTCTTCCTTGTCCTTGGACGGTATTGCTGCCACCACCAAGTGAGTTAGACAAAGATTCAGGAAAAGGACCACTTGGAGTTCCTGTTTCCCCAAAATATCCCCCCAAGCCCTTCACCCCCTTTCCTTGAGAATAATATACCAACCAAATGGGTAAACAAGGTGAGCACAGACCAGACCAGTGGGTTTTTAGGACACTAAAAACCAATCAGGTTCTTAAAAGCAGAACTTTATTATAAAGAAAAAAAAGCTAATTTTACAGGGTAATAAGATTTAAAACACAGAGGTTTTCCCCTCTAGGCAAAACTTCAAAGTTACAAAAAAACAGGAATAAACCTCCCTCTTAGCATAGGGAAAATTCACAAGCTAAAATGAAAGATAATCTAACGCATTACCTTGCTATTACTTACAATTTTTGTAATCTTAGATGCTTATTTCAGGTAGGGTTTTAGGAGATGGTTTTTCCTGCCCTGGTCCCTCTCTGTCCCGGAGAGAACAACAAAGAGAGCACAAACAAAAACTTCCCCTCATAGATTTGAAAGGATCTTCTTCCCTTATTGGTCCTTTTGGTCAGGTGTCAGCCAGGTTATTTGAGCTTCTTAATCCCTTACAGGTAAAGGAGGGATTTTATGCTACCCTTAGCTGTATGTTTATGACAGAGTCATTGTGGTTAGTTCTCTGAAAACATCCACTCAATGTGCAGCGGCAGTCAAAAAAGCTCACAGAATGTTAGGAACCATTAAGAAAGGAATAGATAATAAGACAGAAAATATCATAATGCTACTATGTAAGTCTGTGGTACACCCACATCTTAAATACTGTATCCAGTTCTGGTTGCCCTGTCTCAAAAAAGATATATTAGAATTGGGAAAAGTACAGAGAAGGCCAACAAAAATGATTGAGGGTATGTAACAGCTTCCATATGCAGAAAGGCTTAAAGACTGAGACTTAGAATAGAGACGACTAAGGAGAGATATGCTAGAGGTCTATAAAATGATGACTGGTGTGGAGAAAGTGAGTAATGAAGTGTTATTTACTCCTTTATGGAACACAAAAACCAGGGGTCCCCCAATGAAATTAACAGGCAGCAGGCATAAAACAAACAAAAGGAAGTATTTCTTCACATAACACACAGTCAACCTGTGGAACTCATTGCCAGAGGATGTTGCGAATGCCAGAAGTATAACTGGGTTAAAAAAAGAATTAGATACATTTATGGAGGATAGGACCATCGATGGCTGTTAGTCAAAATGGTCAGGGAGCTTGCTCTGGGTGTCCCTAAACCTCCAACTGCCAGTAGCTGGGACTGGATGATGGATCACTCAATAATTGCCCTGTTCTGTTCATTTCCCCTGAAGCATTTGGCACTGGCCACTATCAGAAGACAGAATACTGGGCTAGATGGACCATCGGTCTGACCTAATATGATAGTTCTTATGTTTTATGTTCTTAATCTCATCACAAAAAGATATCAGGTTAGCTTGACGGGATCTATTTTCCGTAAACCCATGCTGATTGGCATTAATTACATTACCCTTTTTATTTTTTTATTAATCGAGTCCCATATTAGCTGCTCCATTGTCTTCCGTGGAATCGATGTCAGGCTGACTGGCCTATAAATACCCGGGTCATCCCATTTATCCTTTTTAGCTATTGGCCCAACATTAGATTTCTTCCAGTCTTCTGGAACTTCCTCAGTGTTCCAAGACTTATTGAAAATCGACATTAGTGGTCCAGCGAGCTCCTCAGCCAACTCTTTTAAAATTCTTGGACCCGCTGATTTAGAAATGTGAAACTTCCGTAGCTGCTGTTTAACATCCTCCTGAGATACTAGTGGAATGGAAAGAGGGTTATCATCATCATATGTTGAGATTGCATTATCTGCTTTTTTCCCAAATACAGAATAGAAATATTTATTGAACACTTTTGCCTTTTTTACATTACTATTCACAGTTCTACCATTTCCATCTAGTAATGGACCAATACCATTGTCAGGATTCTTTTTGTTCCTAATAGACTTAGAAAACTCCTTATTGTCCTTAACTCTGCTGGCCATGGATTTCTCCACATGTCCCTTTGCATCCCTTATCATTGTTCTACAATACCTAGCTTCTGATTTATTTTCATTACTGTCAACTTCCACTTTCTTCCATTTCTTATATATTCAAAAGATGAAAGGTCAGGACTTTAGCTGGTGGAAATGTATGCCAGCTGGGAACCTGACCCCATTGATTTAAATGGAGCTATGCTTATTTACACCAGATAGGGATCTGGCCCCATTGAGTTCAGCGGAGCTTCATCAGTTTCTCCCAGCTGGGGATCTGGCCCAAAATGTCTGCTAATGCTAAAACCGACTAACAGCTCTTTCTATTAGAAGAGGATCCGTTTCGGACAATTTGGTTTCCAGAAAAATATCATTATTCACTCACTTAGCCTAGAAGAGCTGAAAGCACAGACCCCATCCCATATTCCCATCTCTCTCTTCCCTGCAGTCTTTAAGAAAGTTAATTCCATAGCTGATGACATCAGCTCGGCCCAGACTTACTACGAGAAGAAGATCGTGTCTGTCCAGGAGAACCTCCAGGAGCTCGGTGAGTGTTCTGATCCCCACGGAGCACTGGCCCCATTACATCTCCTGACCATGGGCTGCGATCCCTCGGGCAGCAGAGTAGCCCTTGGAGTTAAGGGACTTTGCGGGGTCACTAGTTGGATGGGATTAGGGGGGTTGGTGGTCAGTGGAAGCTGCTGTTTGCTCTAGCAGATGGAAGGGGGCTGCTGCAGGGAAGGTCTCACAGAGCCTTCAGTGTGAACCTCTATCCTGACTGGAGGAAGAACTAGGAGGAAGTCCGGGGGGGAGGAGGGAAGGGCTACATCTCTCCCACAATATCCTTGTACAAGTTCCTGTAGGAAACATGGGAAAGCTAGATCATAATAATCCTGAGAACACTCTATGGGTCGATGGCAAAGTGTGTTCCAAAGGCAGGTTAAGTATCACTGTCCTTGTTTTACATGTGGGGGAAGCTGAGGCACATAGCGATTAGGTGACTTGCCCAAGGCTGTGCAGGGATTCAGTGTCAGAGCTGGGATGAGAACCCAGGCAATCCTGGTTCTTGGGCCTCCCCCGCTGGAGAGATCTGTAGTTCGCCCACATGTGGCTTAGCAGTATCTGTGTCCAACTCTTAGGAATCCCAGAGCACATGGGGAGAAGAACGTGTTGTGGAGAGAGCCTCGCAGACACCGGGGTCTAGTCCGAGGGGGAATGTGTCCATTCTCCACAGCTGACTCGTGCGTCGTTGCTTGGCGCACAGCATGACAGAGCTATGTATCTCTCATTCAGATCAGAAATCCTCGGGGAACTGCTCCTTCTGCCATGACACAGGGCAGCTGGGGCAGGAGATAAGCAAGTTGCAGGAAGAGCTGGAGGAGATTCAGAAGATGCTCTTGGTGCAGGAGATCCTGCTGGACCGGACCTCGCAGGGGTACCAGCAGCTGTCATCCACCAGCAGCAAGATCACCAGTGAGATGGACGGCTGCTCGTTCTCCATCCGGCAAGTCAACCAGACCTTGGGGCATTTCCTAGCCCAGGTGAGAGGCTGGCAGGCGGCCACCTCGGCGCTGGATGACTCCCTGAAGGGGCTGCTGCAGGAGCGGTATGACGTCAAGGCAGTGGTGGAGCAGATGAACTTCACGGTGGGGCAGACCTCGGAGTGGATCCACGCCATCCAGCGGAAGACGGACGAGGAGACGCTGACACTGCAGAAGATGGTGACCGAGTGGCAGAACTACACCCGGCTCTTTGGAAGCCTGAGGGCCACCTCCTCCAAGACCAGCGAGCTGGTCAAGAGCATCCAAGCCAGCATGAGCCTGGCCTCGCAGAGGATCAGCCAGAACTCGGAAGGCATGCATGACCTGGTGCTGCAGGTGATGGGGCTCCAGCTGCAGCTGGATAATATCTCCTCCTTCCTGGACGACCACGAGGAGAACATGCACGACCTGCAGTACCACACCAGGTACACGCAGAACCGGACGGCGGAGCAGTTCGAGACCCTGGAGGGGCGCATGACCTCGCACGAGATCGAGATCAGCACCATCTTCACCAACATCAACGCCACGGACAGCCACGTGCACAGCATGCTCAAGTACCTGGACGACGTGCGGCTCTCCTGCACCTTGGGCTTCCACTCCCACGCCGAGGAGCTGTATTACCTGAACAAGTCTGTCAGCCTTATGCTGGGCACCACGGACCTGCTGCGGGAGCGGTTCAGCCTGCTCAGCGCCCGGCTGGACTTCGACATCCGGAACCTGTCCATGATCATGGAGGAAATGAAAGTGGTGGACGTGCGGCACGGGGAGATCCTGCGCAACGTCACCGTCGTACGAGGTGAGTTGCATGTGGGTACATCCTGTCCGGGGCTTGAACCCGGGACTGCCAGCGGTAAAGGACCAGGCCCCTTGGGTGGAAGAAGTAGCAAGCTCATAAAGCTCTTCTGTGGTCGTGACCCACGTGAGTGTGTGCGCGTTCGCCAGGGAACCCAGAGGGGAAACTGAGGCAGCAGACCGGTGACCCAAAGCGGGGAGCTAGCTCTTGTATGTGTCTGAACTGGAGGATTTTGGCTGCAGACAGGGGCTTTTGGAGGTATCTTGGGCCACTGGTTCTGCCACAAAAAATCTCAGGGCCGTGATTTCAGAAGCGATGAGTGATCTTTGGTGCTTGATACGAGACACTTGAAAGGGCCTGGTTTTCAATGATGGGGAGGGGGCTCAGCGCTTGCAGCATTGCAGACCCCTCTATGGTGTCTCCATCGGGGCTAACTGCTGGGATGCGCTCGGCCCCAGGCAGCTGGGGTTACCGCTGCTGCTGCTGTGGGTGCCACACCTAGGAGACACCAGTTGAGAGGGAAACCATGACCTGCCAGCTCCCTGGTGAAAACAGGGCCGGAGTTCACACGTCATAGAATAGAATCATAGAATAGCAGGGTTGGAAGGGACCTCAGGAGGTATCTAGTCCAACCCCCTGCTCAAAGCAGGACCAATTCCCAACTAAATCATCCCAGCCAGGGCTTTGTCAAGCCGGGCCTTAAAAACCTCTAAGGATGGAGATTCCACCACTTCCCTAGGTAACCCATTCCAGTGCTTCACCACCCTCCTAGTGAAATAGTGTTTCCTAATATCCAACCTAGACCTCCCCCACTGCAACTTGAGACCATTACTCCTTGGTCTGTCATCTGTCACCACTGAGAACAGCCGAGCTCCATCCTCTTTGGAACCCCCCCTCAGGTAGTTGAAAGCAGCTATCAAATGCTGCCCCTCACTCATCTCTTCTGCAGACTAAACAACCCCAGTTCTCTCAGCCTCTCCTTGCAAATCATGTGCTCCAGCCCCCTGATCATTTTCGTTGCCCTCCGCTGGACTCTCTCCAATTTGTCCACATCCTTTCTGTAGTGTCTGTAGTGTCATCCTTCTTCATGTGTGTCACAAACAGACACACACATCACAATGCACTTCCAACACCCCTCTCCACTCTACACCCATATACACTCACCCACACTCCGTAACACACACACACATCACCACGCATCCCCACACCCAACCCCCTCTCCTCTCCACATCCACTCACCCACGCACTGTAACACACATACATCACAACGCATCCCCATACCCTACCCCCTCTCCCCTTCACATCCGTATACACTCACCCACACACCGTAACGCACACACACATCACAACACATCCCCCCACACCCACTCCCTCTCCCCTCCACACCCACATACACTCACCCACACACTATAACACACACATCAAAATGCATCCCCCCCATACACAATTCTCCTCTCTTCCCACACACAACCACACATAACACAGACACACATCACAACGCATTCCCCCCACACCCAACCCCCTCTCCCTTCAATACACCCCCATCAACACACCGTAACACACACATCACAACGCACCCCTAAACACACTGAACCCCCTTCTCTCCACACCCACATGCACCCATCCACACTCATACATCATCAGACACACACAACACCTCCCCACACCCACATACATCCACCCACACATCACAACACACACATACATCATAGCACACCCAACACCCTCCTCCTCCCACACCCTCATACACAGGCTGTGTATTCAATGGGCCACTTGTTTCTCCCTCCGCATGACAGGGGGTTGCTGCTGGTCGGGTCTGGGGCGTGCGAGCAGAGGTCAGCGTGGGGGCGGCTTGCATGGAATCTGCCCCATTCTCTCCCCCCCCCCCCCGTTCTGTGGCTAGCCAGGGGCCCTCGCTCCCAATGCAGCTGCTCGAAATGCCCTGAGGACAACACTAACCCCACAAAGGCCTGTGGTGGGTGGAGGGGTGCTGTGATGTGTGGGTGTGGGGGACGGCTGAGCGTTGTGATGTGTGGGTGTGTGTTACAATGTGTGGATGGGAGTTGGTGGATGTGGGTGTGGAGGGATGGGAGTG